ACCTCACGCACACCCAGCAGCCGATGTTGTCCGTCCTGCTATCCCGCATTGATGGCGAAGCACTGCAGCGGCATCCGCACCATCTCGCCGCCCACATCGGCCATTCCGCCCACCACCTCCCTGTTGCTGCTGGCCTCGTACACTCCCGACCAAACGAAGTGCTCGACAGCCGCACGCACACGCCGGGCCATGGCGGAGTGCCGCAAGCCGATGGCCTCAGTGATGGTCTGGGTGGCGGCCGCCATGTCGAAGAGGTACGATGCGAGGCGCCAGGCGAAGATGGGGGCCTCCTGCGGGCCGACGGCCAGCCGGGGGGCGAGCAAGGCCGCGAGCGACCGCTGAGGGGCGAGGACGGCGTTGATGGCACCCATGACGTCATCCGGCAGATTGTTGAGCACTGTCGCATACTCGGACAGAACCAGCTGCTGGCGACGACGGTGATGTTGGTCGGTGGCTGTGGGCATGAGGCCGATGTCGGCGCCCGCCTGGAGCAGCACGGGGATGGTGTTCTGGAGGCTGGGGATCTGGATGGTGAGCCGGTCCCTCTCGGCCTGTTCCGTGTTGTTGTCCTGCAGCTGCTGTGTGTCGTCATCGAGCCGTATGGCAGCGACGGTGAGGGGTGTGCTGGTGGAGGCATTTGGCAGCCCTCTGCTGATGTCGGCAGCGGCGAGGCGGCGGCAGAGAGACGCAGCCACACGGTGGGAGCCGCAGTGCGCCACGTAGTGCAATGGCGTCAGCCTATCGCTGCTCACGGCCGTGATGTCCGCCCCATTGGCCACCAGTAGGTCGATGTAGCTCTCGATGAAGTGCTGGGACCAGACAGGAGACGTCATGGCCGCCCAATGCACCAGGTTGGTGCCATTCGGGCCCCGCTCGGTTGCGAGTGTGCTGTCACGCTGGACGAGCTCCCGGTAGAAGGACAGCAGGATGGCCTCGTGGGCCTCAGTCGGCTGATCCGTCGGCAATGTGAACGGCAGCAGCATCACCCGACGCCCCCGCAGCTGGATGCCTGGAACAGACAGACAGACAGACAGACGTTTCGACGTCCATCGTGTTGTGTGTTACGTGTCGTGAGTGCTGTGAATGGGTGTGCACCTGGCTGGCCCATCAGGAGGTCAAAGGCCTCCCGGTTGCACGAGGCGATGGCCACTCGGATGGGTCTAGCCACTCCCGCACCCCTGTTGATGTCCGCCCCTCTCTGGATCAGGCTTCGCATGACGGCGAGCTGGAGGCCGGGCGTCTCCCACGTGGGCATGGCGACGGGAGAGTAGTCACCGCCGTCGCCTGCCCAGATGGACGGCAGACTGTTGTCAGTGAGGTTGTCGATGCACAGCGACAGCCGCGGATAAAGTACACAGCCGCCCGTAGTGCCCGCCACCCGCAGCCATGCCTCCACATTGAGGTCGGCTCCCTGCTCCTGAATCAGCTGCGTCACCTGCTGTTCGCCAGCGATGGTGCGGCGAATGATGGCCGCGGACAGCCGTCTGCTGGCGTCACTGGTGCCACGGGGGAGGCAGACGTCTATGCCGTTCTCCAAGCTCTTCCAGCCCGGTGGTAACGGCACACCTGTTGCCGGACAGACAATCAGACAAGATTGTTAACGATGAGTGAAGGGCGATTCTGATTTGTGTGTCGGTGTGTCTGTCGGCGTCTACCTCTGTTCTGTCGTGTCCGGCTCTGCCCGCTGCGCTGCTGCCCACCAACACAACAACCAACACTGCCAACACCTCCACCTGCACCCAAGCCAAAAGAGGACAGTGAGGCACACACCGACGGCGGGTGCTCCTCGTGTGTGTTGCATTATTGTTACCCACCGCTATCAGCAGCGCTGCGATCTGGTCCGTCTGGGTGTGCGCTGCCGCCACCGGTGGTCTCCTCCTCGACTACATCGTCTGCAAAGGAACACGCACATCCACACACACGACGCTTGGCGATGATACGCTGTGTCTGTGATGTGGTGCATCTGTCTGACTTGAGTGTACCTTCATCGCCATCGCCACCGTCCGCCGGGCCAGCGGAGGCCATGTCGGTGTCGGGACGACCAGACATCACTCACACCCACACAGAGCTGCACCATGAAGCAACAGACAGACACAGATGGGCGGCCACCTTGTGTGTGTTGTGCGCATCAGTGCTGTGCTTGCCTATCAAAGGTATCAGTTGACAGCCAGCCCTACACACACGGTCTCACTCAACCAACCAGTCCGCCCGTCGGCAAGGCAGACCTGAAGACCAACAACACACCTGCGACACACACAGGCACACAGACAGCAAACAGCTCACCGTGGTGTGCTTGTGAGTGAGCCAATCGCCGCATCTTCTCGCTCACCATCGAACGAGAAGCCGCTACGTGGCGATAGCGTTAAAATAGCGATGGTCCGCCGGCAGGAGGGCGTTGGACGAACACAGACGGATACGGCCGAGCGATGGACAGATGGACTCGTCCGCTCGGCAGGTCCTCACTGTCCTCGCTGGCTCACCAAGAGGACCTCTCAAGCGCGAATCGTGACTTCTCCCCGCCCTATCTCCGGCTCGCATCGATCAGCTTGCAGGTCGGCAAAGGAGTGCGAAGGAGCCCTTCTGGTGGGCTCACAGGACTCGTCAGGAGCCAATGATTCAGGCGCAGGGAGCCCCAATCACATTGGATGAGTTGCTTACGGTGGAAAGGGGAGCTCACATGGCTGCCTCTGCGTGAGTGCTGTGTTGTGTGTCATATGAATGGCCCCTGTACATGATTCACAGACTCATATATGCACACAATGTCTGTGAACGTACATGAAGCTCATCAGGATGCGTGTGAGTCAGTCAGTGCTATAGACACCCCTGCTGCCGTCGCTCCCCACCGCCCCGTGCAGCTGTCTACCGAGACCGTCGAACTCACGAGCCTGGCTGTCTGTCAGTCAGTTGCTCACGTGGCTCAGCTTTTGAGCACGGTTGCCGCGGCCCTCCTTGTCCGCAGTGGTGACATACACGTAATACATAGCATCGATCTCATGACATGGAAGAGCTACACAGCCCCCAGTTTGCTACACGCCCTCGTAGCTTCCCTTCCCTCCCGCCCGCCATCTCGCGCATGTGCGTGCGTTGGCAGGCGGGCAGGAAGGTCATGTGATTGGCTGATCGGCCCACTGCCGCACCTCATCGCGCGACCCGGCGAACACCACCTTGGTCTTGCACTGCTCACACAGGTACTCCGGCTCGTCCAGCAGCTCCACCAACGGTATCTTCTCCTCCTTCTTGCGGCCCTCGTTCTGTCTCTTGATGCCCTCGTTCTCCTCACGCCGCCGCGCATTCTCCGCCCGCACCTGGTGGAGGTCCCGCCGCCACTTGCTGCAGCGTTGGTCATAGCACTGGCGACACAGTCGCAGGTGTCTGCAGGGCATGTACATGACCGATGGGGGCGCGTCGAGGCAGATGGCACACTCACGCCCATCTCCCTCTGGCTGGGCCGCTCCCGGGGGCTGCTGCTGCTGCTGCTGCTGGGGGGAAGGCTGCTGTAGCGGCAGAGGGGCACTGGAGCTGCTGGACGATGACGGCTGGTGCTGCTGGGCGGCAGTGGTGGTGAGCTCGGCAAGCCTGACAGACCGACGAGACCGTTGCGTTTCGTTCTTATGTGCTGTGTTGTGGGATGTGAGTACCTTCGCTTGAGCTCCTCATTCTCGCGCTGCAGCTGAGCCTCGCGCGACGACCCGCCCAACCTGCACACACACCCACACACACAACGCCACAGCAAGGCATGGGAATCCGATCCGTCCCATCCGTGCGTCAATGTCCATGTATGTGTGCCACCCACCTATCATTCACACCACCAGCAGCACCAGCACCAGCCGAGGCTCCCTCTCCACCCTCATCATCATCCAATGGCCTGACCACACACACGCAAATCGAATGACGTGACGATCCGCACATCGTCGCTTTGTGTGTTGGTGTGCCTGCCTACCCTAGTGGCTCTTGGTATGGTGTTGCGGCTGCTGCTGCTGCGGCCGCCGGAGCTGGTGGTGCAGCACTGGGATGGCCGTAGCTGCTGGACGAGGGACAGGCATCAAAGGCGCACCTGACACAATACAGAACAAACATGGCAATTAGATGGCGGCTGTGCCGCGTGTGTTGATTGAGCGTCTGTGCGCACCTCAGCCCATGCAATTGCGAGAAACGGGGCTCATTCTGACTCAACGAAGCTCCAAACGACCTGATACGATGCACGAACAACAACCACCACCGATGTGTGCGTGAGCTGTCCTGATGTCGGCCTGGCTGTTCCCTACTTGGGACACTTGACGAGTGGCGGAGGACCCCGGTGACGCGACGGACAATCCACACTCGACGAGGAGGGAAGCAAGCCGTCACTGACACAAAGAGAGACGACAACACACACCAACACCATTCCTTGTGCCCACCAATCTATCCCCTTCTCTGTGCCTGTCTGCTTACGGCTGCTGTGGCCCATGCGCTGGATGCGGGAATGGCCCATCGGCACCGCTCGCCGGTCTGTGTGCAGGTGGCAGGGGCCGAGGGGGTGGGGGCGGGTGAGAGGGACTCGACGACACGAACGGTCGCCGCTTGCCCGACTGGCACAGATCCTCAGCTGACGGCAGACGGGGAGGGGGAGGGGCCGGCCGAGACGACAGGGATGGTGCAGCACCAGAGAGGCCCAGCCCGCTGCCTCTTCCCAACTTGCTGTCTGCTGATGGGCCCGGCAGCCGCTCCTCGCCCGGCGTCTGGTCGGCCATCGACACACCGCTGGGGCGAGAGAGCAGAGGGCGATCGTGGGGCTGGTGGGATCGAGACTTATCGGCTGAGGGCGGCAGATTCGTCTGTTGCTTGGCTGTGGGGGGCTGGAAGGGCGAGAAGGGGTGACAGGGCGGCCCTTTGGCGTGGGCAGCTGGGTGGGACTTGGTGGGGGCCGCCTTCTGCTTGGGGTTGATGGCCTGCGCATGGCTTTCGACGGTGCGTTGGGCGAAGGCCGACCCCAACAGTAGGGCGTCGATGTCCTCATCGTTGGAAGTTGGCTGGTCGTCATTGGCTGCCCCAGTGCTGTCCGCCTGGTCGTCTTCGCCGCCCGGCGGGCTGCTGGTGGCGGCTGTGCTGTGCTGCCCCTTGCCCCGCTTGCCCTTACCCTTCTTGCCCTTCGCCTTAGCCGCCTCCTTCTTCTTGTTTGCCGCCTCCTCCTCCTCTCTGATGAGGGCCTCCGCGTTGGCGTCGGCCTCCCTCTGTTGCCGCGCCAAGTCGGCCGCTGTGGGGGCCTCGTTGGCCTCTCGTGTGGCCTGCCGCCTCTTGTGCCTGTCGCGCTGCTCTTTCATCTTTTGCAGCCGCCCCTGCGCCTCGATGGTGGCGGGGCGCCGGTCGGGAATGGGCAGCTCATTGGGCGCCGCGTTGCACTCCGCCAGCACCAGCTGGCGACGGCGGCGGTCCTCCTCTGTGGCTGTGGGCAGCAGGGAAATGTTGGCACCGGCCAACAAGAGCACGCGGATGATGAGGATGAGGTCGCTGAAGCGGTCTCCCAGCCGGTCCCTCTCGGCCTGCTCCGTGTTGTTGTCTTCCAGCCGTTGGATGTCGTCATCGAGCTGTCGGGCAGCGACGCCAAGGGGTGTCTCGTCGCCAAAGAGCGTCCCTCTGTCGATTCCAGCAGCGGCGAGACGGTGACACAGAGAGGCAGCCACACGGTGGGAGCCCTTCGAGGCCGCGGTGTGCAGTGGCGTGCAGCCAAGGATGTCTGTCGCCTCGATATCCACCCCATTGGCCACCAGCAGGTCTATGTAGCTCTCGATGAACTGCTGAGAATAGACTGAAGGGGACTCGGCCGCCACATGGACCAGGTTGCCGCTCATTGGTGACAGCTCGGCTGCGAGTGTGGAGTCTCGCTGGATGAGCTGCCGGTAGAAGGACAGCAGAGCAGCCTCGTGAGCCTCAGTCGGCTGATCCGTCCTGAATGTGAAGGCCAGCGCCATAACCCGCCGCCCCCGCAGCTGGATGCCTGGAACAGACAGACAGACAGACAGACGAACATCAGTGTGTGTCAGGTGTCGTGAGTGCTGTGAATGGGTGTGTACCTGGCTGGTCTATCAGGAGGCGGAATGCGGCCGGGTTGCACGCCCTGATGGCCACCCTCAGAGGCGTACACGGAGCGTGCCCCGTCCCCGCACCCCCGTTGATGTCGGCACCGCTCTCGATGAGGGCCTGCATGACGGCAACCTGTAAGCCGATCGTCGGCCACATCCGCATCGCCACCGGGGCGGGGATTTCGCCATCATGGGATGCCCAGATCGCTGCCACGCTGTTGTTGGTCATGTTGTCGATGGCCAAAGACAACAGCGGGTAGGCTGTGTAGATGCCCGTGAGGCCGTCCGCCACCTGCAAGCCAGGCTGCACATTGGGGTCGGCTCCCTCCTGCTGGATCATGTCCGTCACATGCTGTGGGTGAGTGACGGTGCGGCGGATGACGGCCTCTGACAAGGTCATGCTGACACCGAGAGGAGTGACGGCTTTGAATCTGGACACCCAGCCAGGTGGTAGAGGCGGACCTGTGTCCGACACAGCGTCCATAGGGAATGCGTGTTGTGTCTTGGTTTGTTCGCTCACCGCTATCCTGTCGGTCCTGGCCCTGCCCCTGACCGCTGCGATTCGGTGCGCTGCCCTGCTGCCCACTAAAAGCCATACCGAGACCCCCACTAACACGGCTAACACCTCTGTAATTTCCTGCACACACAACATTACTTATGACATCGACCCAGCAAGCGTAAGCGTGCTGCTGGTGTGTGCTGGGTGGGTGCATGTGGCCACTCACCACCGTCAACGCCCATGTGGTTTTCTTCTGCTTGCCCGTCGCTGCTCTCCTCGTCGCTGCTCTGCTGCTCCTCGGTAGCAGCGACGTAGGCGATGCATTTGTGGCGACTGACACGCTGCATTTGTGGCGTACCATCGCCGTGACGGCGGCCCGACATCACACAGACAGACAGAGCTGCACCATGGACCACACGCACGCACACAGAGATGGGCAGGCCCGCCCTTGGTGCATGTGTTGTGTGCATCAATCAAGGCTTGCCTATCAATTCTGTGAAGTTCTGTCGGCGGCAGGCCAGCCGTACACGGTCGCTCACTCAATCAACCGCTCCGCCCGTCGACAAGGCAGACCGGAAGACCACACACAAATCACCATGATGCGCTTTGTCCATAGACTTGTGGTCAAGTATGACCAGTATTTGCGTCTCCCCTACTCCCTCACCATCGGATCATTGGTCACCGTGTGACGAGAAGCGATACTGCAGCATGCGTGCGCTCACCAGCGATGGAAAGGCCGCTTGTGGATACGCAAACGAACTCGTCCGCTCACGAGGGTCCTTAATGCGCCTCCACTGACTCATTAAGAGGATCTCTTAACCACAATTGTCCCCTTCTCCCCCTCTCTCAGGCTCGCATCGATACTTTGTCAGCCTTCGCTGACAAAGGAGTGCAAAGGAGCCCTTCGGTGGGCTCACAGGACTCGTCAGAAGTCAAGCACTCAGCCGCAGTCAGCCCCAATCACTTGGATGAATTACTGATGTGCATACGGCAGGTCACAAATCGGCGCCACACTCCCCAGCATCACGCAGTAGCAAGAGGGAATAGCCATCATATTCTAGCTGACAGACAGACAGGCAGCCGGCCATTGAACGCTCTCCATCAATGTGTCATCATCAATCAGCGGTCTCTCTCATAGCCTATCACTATATCTTGACCCTTCTTGTCTTCAGCTTCAGCCCCCACCCGCCGTTCCCTCTGCCTCTGTTGCCGCTGGGCCATTCGCTCGCGAATGAGGGCCTTTGGGTCGGTGACCGCCCTGGCCAGACTGCCCATCCGGGGGCCTCCAGTGCCGTAGTTGGTCCACGCACCGCCGTCCTTGGCATAGAAATCCATCGGATACACTGAATGAACACCGCACACCACACACACAGAGAGGCAGCCGAGCCAGACGTGTGTGTGCTCTGAGTGAGGGTCTGTCTGTGCGTGAGGCCGTCGGTCCGTCAGTGAGCGCACCGGTGCGGTAGTGTTCGTGTCCGAAAGCCACGAAGGCCTCGTATGGCGTGAGGAGCGGTTGGCTGTAGAACTGACCCCAATCCACCGACAGACGCGGACACGCCACCTATCCGGTTGACACAACCACACATCCTATGCTATGTGGCTGCCTGCGGCTCGTGTGGTGTGTCTTGTCTGTCAGTCAGATGGCTCCTCCCTCCTTCTCCCGACTGACCTGTATGAAGGCATCGACGTGTTGGTGCATGTGCCTGAGGCGGTCGGGCAGCACCTCCGACATGAGCAGCACAAAGTAGGGCAGCTCTTTGGACTCGAGCAGCCTCTGCAGCTGCTCCAGTATGCCCACACTCCCCTGCCGCCCCAGGGTGCCCAGAATGAGCCCCACTGTCTTGGCCCCCCTGGCCGCCTCGATGGCCGCCTGTCTGTTGCGGTGAAGCGCAGCGTGCGCATACGACTCACGGAAGAACCTCTGTGGACCAAGGACAGAGACAGAGAGAGAGGGGAATACACATGCAGCCACCGCACCAACACACACACACCACACCCATGTGTGTGTGTGTGTGTGTGTGTGTGTGTCGGGCTGACCTTTGTGAAGGGGTCGTAGCGGAAGAATGGTATGGTGGGGTTGGCGATGAGTGAGCTCTCGAGGTGGAACCGCCCGTCAGCCACAAACACAGCCACATCCACTGCAGAGCCGTCCAGTTTGGGCGACGTGCAGCCCAACACCTCACCGGCAGACAGCGGCCGAGACTGCGGGATGACCGGCGGAGTGGCAAAGTGTCCCTGCTCCACCAGCAGGTCCCTGGCCCGGTGGAGCGTCGAGCTGAACTGGATGGTGCCCAGAAGAGCCACCTTTTGCTGTCTGTCCAGGTTGCACCTGATGGTGTCGGCCAGGTGCCGGGCGTCGAGCTGGATGTCCACGTGGACGTACATGCACCGCACGTCAGTCTGGTCGTTGACGGGCACCAGACACGAGTGGCCGTAGTGCACCAGGAAGTCCACACCGACGGCCTTCGCTGTGAGGTCGTCGATGCAGCAGGCGCCGTACGTGACGTCGCCCAGGATGATCACCTCAGCATCAGGACAAAAGTGGGTGATGATGTTGGCGATGGCGGGGGCGAAGACGAGCAGGCCTTCGGGCATCTGCAGGCCGACGTGTGTGAAGCCCTCCCGGCGGATTCGCCAGATGGTCTTGGGCAGCTCGAAGGTGTAGTTGGGCGGCAGGGCGATGGAGATGGCCTGCTGCAGCTCAGCATCCTCGGCGATCTCTGCCGGCACGCGGGAAGCGACCTTGGCGGCCGGACGATGATTAGATCCGGCGGAGCCCTGCCCAACGAGCGATAGAGAGGCGCTCTCTGTCATCTGTTCTGCTTCTCCTGTGGATGAAGCTCGCAACGCAAGCTTAGCTCGCAAAGAAGTGCGGAATCGGAGCATGGCACAGAGTGCATCATGCGGAAGAAAACCCCGCAACGAAATGAATTCCGACGAAAAAGGAGAAAATTGCCGGTTAAGGCTAAGAGCGAAGCTTCTCCTCGTGCGCGAAGGTGAGATACACACGCCGGCCGGCAGTATATATGGATAGATCAGCCACAGATTCGGACGCAGCACAGCTCACCGCAGCAGCGGCAGTTATTGCTGACATTAGTTGTGCATGTGTGTGATGGCTGCTGTACAGACGCCCTGGCCGGCTGACAGAGGCGGCGCAGTAGCACAAGACCGACCCGAAGGTGCGGTGCGCACCCAGACAGACAGACAGACAGACAGACAGACAGATGGACGCACAAAGATGCAATCAATGCTTCACACACATGCACACGCCCTTCTCGCCGTGTTTGGCTCAGCGGAGTTGGGTCGTCATTATCCATCTAGCGCGTCTGACATGTGGTTGTTCGGCGGCGGTGCTTCCCAGCCGAGCGACCACCACGGCAGACGCAAGAAATACTCGCTCGAAAACCTCATGTATGTGAGTGTGTCTGTGTCTTGGGTGGACGTTTGACACACACGCACACCGATGAGTGTCTGTCTGTGTGTCTGTGTGTGTGTCTGCAGGTATCTGTATCAGCAGCTCAATCGCTACAAGGACAAGTGAGGCAGCCACATCTCACGCACACACACAACGCGCACGTGTGTGTGTGTGTGTGTGCTTCTGTCTGTCAGGGATCTGTCGCACGACTCGTCGAGTCACTTGGCGCCGACGATAGAGATCATCCGGTCCATCGCCGAGCTCATGATATGGGGCGACCAACACGAAGAGGAATACTTCTTCGAGTCAGCAAACGAGCCAACAAGCCAAGCCACCGCCTTTGTTTGTGACGCCTCCCTCTGTGAGTGTGCGTGTGTGTGTGTGTAGTTTTTTCTGTGAGAAGAACATTCTGTCCTACTTCATCAAGATCTTGAGCATGAAGGTGGCCAAGCCGGTCAAGGTGCAGTTGCTGCAGACGCTGTCGATCCTCGTGCAGAACATCAACAGGGAAACCAGCATCTGTAAAAACGGACACGCACACACACACACACACACACACACAGACGGCGTGTGTGGGAGATACACCAGCATAGCACACTTGTGTGTGTGTGTGTGTGTGTGTGTAGATTATCTGCTGTCCAACAACCACGTCAATTCGCTCATATCGACGCCATTCGAATGGGAAGACGAAGAGATCCTCGGTGGGTCGGCCATTCAGCAAAAAATGGACACCTGTGTGCGTCTGTATATGTGTGTGTGTCGGTGTGTGGGTGTCATGCAGCCTACTACATCACGTTCCTGAAGTCTCTGTCGCTCAAGCTCAACAAGGAGACAGTCAAGTTCTTCTACAACGAGGTCAGTCAGTGAGTCCGTTAAGACATGACTCGACTCGCTGCATCTATCGGTGGTGGTGGTGGTGTGTCTTTGGTGGTTGGTGCGGTGCGTGCAGCGTGCGCATCACTTCCCGCTGTACACGGAGGCCATCAAGTTCTTCAACCACAAGGACAGGTGAGGTACACACACACCGCACTCAACTCAGCTCAACAGACACACGCATTGGATTGGAAATGGCTGTTTTCGTTCCCACTGTGTGTGTGTGTGTGTGTGTGTGCGTGTGTGTGTGTGTGTGTGTCAGCATGGTCCGGACGTCTGTGCGCACGCTCACACTCAACGTGTTCGGAGGTCAGATGGATAAATGGATGGATGGATGGATGTGGGTGTGATTGTGTCAATTTGACTGACTGACTGATGTGTTCAAAATGATTGTGTTGTGTTGGTGGTCAATCACACAGTGTCCGACCCGTCGATGCGCCACTTCATCCTCTCCCAGGAGAGCAGGTTCTTCACTCACGTGGTAGGAATATCCGTGTGTTGTGTGCGGGCCCCCATGACATGAGTGTCTTGTCTGTGTGGTGTGGGTGGGGACTTTTTGTTCTAGGCGACGTATTTGGTGGACATGTGGCTGAAGATGGAGCTCACCATCAACACAAAGAGTGCGATCGAGGGCCTCGGGTCGCTGCCAGAGCAATTCGGTCAGGAAACCTACACACACACAACAGCACAGCAACAGACAACACAGCAGCGAACTGCAGATGTGTGTGTGTGGGGGGGGGTATGTTTCAATGAAATGCAGAGGAGCACGAGGATCTGCTGCTGTACGTGTCGGACATACTGAGCATGCAGATCGACGGCATCAACAAGGTATGCCTGCACATCCTCACAACCACACCCACACAATGTGAAATACGGATCGATCTCGCTCCTTCAGCTGCTGACGAGCCGTCTCTTTCGGCACGCCCTCTACCCCGTCCTGATACGCTCCATACTCAGGGGCAAAGAGGTCAGAACATCATACAACAACAACAACAACAACACACATTCACACACAAACACACAGACACACACACACACACACAGAGAGAGAGAGAGAGAGAAATGGACAACTGCTCGTGTGCAAGTATACCTGTGTATGGTTTGGCAGCCCGTCGCGTCATCCCACAAGGGCGGCGGGCCGTCGCCCACCCCTGCTGCAATGGACGGCCCTGTCGACGACCGGGAAGAGGTGCATCCCGCCTGATACACGTCCCCACATCCATCCATCCATCCATCAGTGTGTGTGTGTTTGACTTGACTGGGCTGACAGGCGAGTGCAGATGACGGCAGGACGGACCACACATCGGCCGACGAGGGAGAGGTACACATGCTGGTTGGTGTGTGGGTGCTGTGCTGCATCTGGGTGTGGACGTCTTTCTTTGTTCTTGTCGTTTTTTGTCTTGTCAGTCGAGCGCGTCACTGCTGTCGCCGACTCTGGCCATCTACCTGGTCAACAGAATACTCATGGTACCATGAGGGCCACAGCCACATCCACACACCCACCTAGGATAGGATGATACACTCTCGGCATATACGTGTGTGGTTTGTTTCTTTGCCGTGTGCAGGTGTTGTATTCCCACCCCTGTATAGCCATCCCCCTCACATCGGCCGTCATGAACACCAAAATGGGTACGTCTCGTCCCTACGCACAATCTCATCTCTCTGTCTGTCTGCCTACACGAAGTCGTCTTAATTCGGGTGCGCCTGCCTGCTCAGGTCACCACACGTACGGCAAGATAGCAGAGGCACCCACCAACAGCAGCAACACCAACAAGTGAGAGTCGGGCAACGACCGGCATTGACACACTCACTCAACACACACAACACCCCTCCATCGATCGCATCGATCGGATGGTTTCAGTGAGCACGACACAGACGAGAGCGACCAAGACTTATTAGAGGAAGGTACGCTTCGCACACACACATACAGACTCTCTCATACCGACACCCATACGCACACACACACTGATAGATGTGCCCAACGGCGGTCTGAGCAACCCCGTCCGCAGAAGACTTATCGAAATGCTCGGGGCAAGCCAAATGCCCCCCCCCCCCACACATGTGGGTGGGGTCTGATTCCGTCGTTCGTTATCTCTTTCAGAGTAGCCCGTCGAGCGACTCGTTTGTCTTTGTGTGCGTGGCCCTGCTGGACACCGCCATGAAGCACACGAAAACATTCACAAGGGTACGGTGCGGTGGGTCGGGGGCTGTTGGGTCATGCAGCAAGCAAATCGATGACAACTTTGAGTGCAATGTGACGTACGTGTGTGCAGCCGTTCCTTGAGTCATGCAGAATTCTCCCACCACGGTAGGTCGGATGCACACCCTCACACACACACACACACGTGTGCTGTACTGTGTCTGCCCGTCAGGTTCGATTCGCGCCAGCTGCTGCGCAACCTGGGCGTCTCCAAGACGCCCACACACGAGGACACGCAAGCCGCCCGGCAACCACAGCAACCACAGCAAGACAACCGTCAGCACCACCACAATGAAACAGACAGCGCGTCCGACGCAGGTCGACCTGACGGTCTTCGTGACGGTGGTGGTGTGGGATATGGTGTGCGCTCAAAGTCGATACCGGCCTTCGAAGCTGACGAGCGGAGGAAGAGGTAGGTGCCCACACGAAGTGTGTCGGTGGATGGATGGATGTGTGTGTGTGTGTGTGTGCACAGGCCTGCTCTGCGGCTGCATTCGCTCTTCCGACCATCCCGAGGGTGCGTACGCACGTGTGTGTGTAGATGGACACAACAAACACACGAATGCATTTGTGTGTGTTTATGCCTCAGAGGCGCGGAACGGAGCTCTGACGATCATGTCTGCCGGTACGTGAGTGTGCATTCAGAGGCTGTCTTGGCACATGTGCATGTGTGTGTGTGTGTGCAGGTCTGAGGGCTCTCCCCCCTCCTCAACACCCTCTGGCGACGGATCCCCAAAGTGAGCACACACATACACACATACACACCGTGCACACCTCCCTCCCTCTCTCTCTGCTACGTCTAGGTCTGACCCTCCTTCGTCTCTCTCCTTCTCCCTGACTCATCCACACCCACACCCCCGCACCAGCACCACCAACAAACATCACCATAGCAGCAGCAGCAACAGCAGAAGCAAGCGGGCGGCGATAGAGCCACACACACAACAAGAACAGCACACAGGTACTGCGTCTCCTGCACACTGCACAAGAGCCGAGCCGCCCGCCCACACCCAACACCCACATGTGTGTGTGTGTCTGTGTTTGTGTGTGCAGATGGTGGTGTGTCGTCCAGCAGTCGGCCGGAAGATCAGGAAGCCGACGAGTAGGCAGACCATAGTAATGCGGGCGTCGATGTGCCTTTTGTTGATGCTTGTTGTGTGGTGCGTGGCATTGGTGTGTGTAATGCTAATGCAGTGGATCCCTTGAGGTGTTTAGTTTGATGTGTTGTCTGCTGGAGGGCAGCACACAGCACATGAGGATGCTCACTGTCAGAGTGGTATCCGCACACACACACAACACACACACACACACCATTGGATATATGGGTGTGTGTCAGGTGCTCCGGCTGCTCTACAACATGTACTTCGAGCACCATGTAAGCACGCGGCCACACACACGTCTACTTCATCTGTGTGTCCGTGAAGATATGGAAGCATCCGAAATGGGGCAAAGTCGCCAAAGAGAAGCTCATGCACGTACCAAGCCCCCTCCCCCCAACACACACATGCACACGTACACCCCCATCGTGCACGTGTGTGTCTGTCTATGTGCGCAATCACAAACGTGTCAGCTGCTGTCGGCTCACGTGCCAAGTGCCCTCTCCCTGCTGACCATGCCGATGGGCGACCACGTCCTGGACATCTTCGAGGTGCCACACACACATCACACACACACATATCAACCATCATTTGTGTGTGTGTGTGTGTCCTTAGGAGGAGTGGCACATCCATCTGGCCCCTCCCATCGACATCGCATCGGTCGGCGCCGACCCACACGTGCTCCTCCCTCTCGCCACGTGTAGGCACCTGCCTGCACACACATGGCCCTATCCACACACACAGACACAGATGGATGGATGGATGGCTGTACAAATGTGTGTGGATGCATCCACATGGATGTCAGCGTACTACCCCCCGTCGATTCCGCACGTGTGGCGCTTCCCGATCAAAGATGAAGACCACATGCGCAAGGCCATGCAGGTGTGTCTGTGTACGTGTGCGCATGGATGGATGGATGGATGTGTGTGTGTGTGTGTGTGTATGCAGACGTACCTGCTGCTGCGCAAGCTGAAGGGCGACCTGACGAGCAAACACAGGAACGACCGGATCATCGGTGCGGGAGGGCGTCCCACAGCACGCGCACATACAGCCACACAAATGAGTGCGTGTGTGTGTGGGTTGACGTGCAGATGTGCCCGGCCACCATCCGCCCCCAGTCGCCAATGGTACCCACCGACACACACAAACACACAAGAACCAACGCAGAAACAACACGTTTGTGCACGTGTGTGTGTGTGTGTGTGTAGGTGTGCCGATCACGGTGCCGTTGCCGACGAATGAGAGGGAGCGGAAAGCCATCGACGACCCCACACAGAGATGGTGCGGGACCTTTCCCACACACACACACGCACAAGCATCCTTCTTGTTGTCATGGCGATCAGGAAGCTGCCATGCCCGTCACCCTTCCCTCTGTACGACACGCAGCAGGAGAGGGAAATGGCCCACACACGAGAAGGCACCAACTACGACCTCAACGAACGTGTGTGGGCGTGCACTCATTTGCAAAATCGCCTCCGTCTATTTGTGCGTGTGTGATGCTGTCTGTCAGGTGACCGGATCAAGTGCACCATCATCAGCCCGCAGGAGGCCAACGGCCCCCAGGCCATCACGCGCTACATCGTGCAGCACTCGTACCTCCTCCTGCTGTGCCGGCCACACCCAACCACACCAGGCCTCTCAATCGTCACGTATGGACATTCCCAACACACACACACACTCGCCCATCCATCCATATCTGTCTGTCTCTCTGTGTTGTCTGTCAGGACTTGTGCGCCTGTGCGTTCTGTCGAGTGCATGGTTGACCGTAGCGAGCCGCGACACCTCAGGTAGACGAACAGACAGACTCGTTGATCCTGATGTGTGCAGGCTTCTGTGTGTGTGTGGTCAGGTTGTTCATTCGATCGACCAGCCAACCGGGCGACGCTATGCGGTGCAGCAACAGGCAATACGACGCCACGTGAGCAGTGCAGCCGCCAAGCCACCCATCCATCCATATGAAATGTGTGTGTATGACACCGAGTGCAGGTCGTTGGATGTGTCGGCGGTGTCGGCCAGCTCTGCGTACGACTGGCGGGCGAAAATACCTTCGGTCAGCCAGTCCGCCCTCCCTCACACACGCATACACAAGCAGGCGTCGATATACGTACACATGGTGTGTGTGTGTGTGTGTGTGTGTGCGTGTGCGCACAGGTGTGGGAGATGCTGTTGACCTTCGAGGACGCCAAGCGATGTCTCACTGCACGGGTGAGTGAGAGCACACATGTTAGATTTTTCGAGAAGCGCGTATACATTTGTCTTGTGTCCTCTGTGTGTGTGTGTGTGGCTCTGCAGCGTTGGCTTGACGGCGGTCGGCAGCAGGTCCGGAAGAAGCTGATGGAGCACCTGCACAGATACATCACCGAAACGTGACGGCGCACCCACAGGCAGACAGACAGACAGACAGACAGGGAGGGAGGGAGGGAGGGAGGGAGAGATGGCCATAGATAGATGAATGGGCGAGTGGGTGCGGCACGGTGGGTTGTGTGATTAGGTTGGCTGCTGCTGTGTGTACGTGTATACGTGTACGTGTACGCATGCACTCATTGATTGATGCATCCATGGGCCATGTCTATGTATTGTTGTACAGACACGCAGACAGACAGACAGACAGACAGACAGACAGGCACGGGCTTTCCTCCCCCCGCCCTCTTTCTCTTATGAAATGACATCCCCTCATGTGAATGCGCATTCATGACCTGCACCACTCACTCGTCCTCAGGCACAAACTTCTCACCCGCACTTCCCTCTTCCTGGCGCCACAGTGGACAGTCTTCACAGCTGAAGTCCCCGCACCGGACGCGTGTAGTTGTGCCCCGTCTGAAACGAGAAGGTGGCCACCCTCCATGCTCGAGACTCAGTGGAGTCGGCCCCATCTGAAGAGGCCGCTCCTCAAACTCCTCTTCAGATGGGGGGCTCCCTCAAAGGCTCAGCCCGTTGGGCTATCTCGTTTGTAACGTATGTTCACAAAAGCCGGCCCATGCATTGTCACTGATGCGCCGAGCCATCTTGCAATGAGAAAAACTCGTGCGCCTCATGTGCGAGCTTATTGATACTGGATCTATCTCTATTCTCAGCTTCTCCGTTGGGAGGGAGGACGAGTCTGCGCAGTAGAGAGGAGCAACGTCCAAGCGGCTCGAGGTCGCCCTGCCTCTCCCCGGTCTTCCGGTCGAGCAGGTCGCCACGACAGCCCCGAACGTCTCTGACAAAGCATCGGTACGCAGATCTCTTCCCTTGTCGATCACCTGCTTACGTGTGCGATGAAATCCATACATGGTTTTCCCTCAGACCTTTGTTTCCATCATGCTTCGAGGGAGGGGCGGCTTCCGAGGTCGAGGGCGTGGCGGCCATGGAACAAAGCTGGCCAGCAGCGCGTTGATCCGCCAGTGTGTTCGCCAGGGCCGCGATACGGACAGCACTATCGAGCTGCTGCCCAAGCTGCATCACACTCTCACGTGAGCAGGAGATGCAGTGGGGCGTCGCCAGAGATGCATGAACTGTTGTAGGGACTTGAAGAGTCAGAGGGATGGCATGAGCGCTGAGGACTTCAAGGACGCTGCCTTGCAAGAGATCAAGGTCATTTGAAGCGTGCTCGTGGCATCATCATTGAGCTTCGTGTGTGTCTCTCAGGCAAAGGTTGCTGAGGAGCGGTGGGATCTGCCACTGGTTGAGCCTGTGAAGGCAGAGAGCGAGAGCGAGACGAGGGGCGAGAATGAGACGTATGAGGGTGGAGCAGACAGCAGTGAGTTGGCAACCGTGACCAAGATACTGGCAGCTCTTCAGAACGAGGTGAATGCAACACGGCACTTTGCTGCGTTTTCTCTGCGTCATTGTTGTATCTGTTCTCTCTCTTTCTCTCTTGGCTTCCTTTCTGTTTGTATGAAGATTGGCGACTGGCCGACTGAGCAGCTGAAGGACAGCTTCGGCAGCATCGAGCAGCACCTCAAGACGGGTACGTGTAGAGAATGAGAATGAAAGAATCGTGTGGACAACATCGGCCTATGTGGGTCAGGTGTCTATGATGAGGAGTCCGACTTCTTTTGCAGTGCATTTAAGGATGCATCCGTGCTCATCCAGGCGGCATACAAGGCACACCGTGAGTTGAGCGACAGCAAATGCAGCCCTCAATCAGGCTGATTTTGCCTCGCTTCACAGCATCGGTGCTCCTGAAGGACCGTGTTGTGGAGCTGGATGCAGGCGAGGAGAAGATCCTCAATCTGTCGACTGCCATGAAGAGGTGGGCGCCAACATCATGTTGAGAGGCCCGGTGACTGCATGTATGTCATGTCAGCGCGGCGAGCGATGATGCCGAGCAGGAGCTGCTGTGGATGAAGCGGATCGACGCCGTCACAGATTATCTGGACATTCTTCACAACAGCGTAGGCATGCAATGCCATTCTCATGGGCGCCTGCTCGTTTTCATTTCGTGATATCATACTACTTGCAGGCCGTCACCTTTTGCGCGGGGGTGAAGTCGGGCCCTTTGGGCTCATTCGAGAACGGGCAGAAGGAGATCATCAATGCCAGCCAAGTGAACACGACCAGAGCTGCCATTTGAATCCACTCTACTGTCGCTTTGTGCCTATTTTCTGTGTGCAGGGGTTGGTCGACCTCTATGGCTTCGCAGCTGGTTAATTCGAAGACGCGCGAAAGGCCATCATCGATCGCAGCCAGGTGCGGCCGTGCCTGCATGCACACACGACTTGGCTTGTACTTGTTCTGTGCATGCAGGCGTTGATCGACAAGTGCGGCGAGTACGCAACACAGTGGAAGGAGCGTGTTGACCAGCTGCAGGAACGAGGGAAACAGATCCACGGTTCTCAGAAAGAAAGAAAGAAAGAAAGAAAGAAAGACAGACAGACAGACAGACAGACAAGCAGCACACATGAGGCAACTCACACACCCCTACCTCCTCTCTCTGTGTGTGTATTATCCAGAGTATCGGAAGAGCACGGAAACTGAGGCGGCAGCTGCGAAAGCTGAAGATGAAAAGTAGGTCGCATGTGTAAGCGCTGACGCAGTGATCAACAGAACACATCGTTACGTGCAGGCTGGTGAAGCAGAACAGGGAGAAACGCCAGCTGATGACTGGCACCCTGCAAGAGCTCCACGACGCCTTCATCATGCAAGCGGTAATAAATCGAACATCAGACAGCCGGGGGCTACACAGTGGGGTCGTGGATGGTTTGTCAGAAAGAGGAGGTTCGTTCGTATGAAGCGCATCTGCGGGTCAAAGCCATAGCGGATGTCGCGAATGCTTCGACGCCTGCCTCACTTCTTCACCAGATACTCAACAAAGTGATGGTGAGTGATCCAGTTGTCTTGGGCATCGTTGACTCTCATCGTTGGACATCCTCGTGTCTTCTGTCATTCAGGCGTGGCGCGAGGATTACACCAATCACCTCCGTCGCTGGCAGCAAGGCGGCGCTCTGGCGGTCAGCATTTCTATCCATGTACCATTCCTGTCCATGTGTTCCTGTCTATTCCTGCAGATTGACATCCGTAAGTGGCTCGAGACGGTGCTGCGATGCGTCCAGGAGGAGCTGCAAAAGGCGATCGACCACCTGAAAGAGAGTGGGCACATTACCTGTAATTACAATGCCCAACAGAACAAATAAAATATCATATTCTGTTGTCCCCCTTTAGTGTTGCCCCACTACCGTGACGTCAGTATCGAGCTCGTCAGACGCCAGGCGCAGGAAATCGACCAAAATATCAGAGACAAGACGGACGCCGTAAGTCATCCGCGCGATCTCACGAGTTCGTCTTATGCCGTGCATCGTTGTTTCGTGTTTCAGATCAACTGGTGGCATATGAAGCTGCACAAGCTTACACAGAAATACGAGCAGCTGAAGGGCGACGCGCTTGCTCGCAAGCAGATCAAAGAGAAGATAGAGACCGCTGAGCAGCATTCGAAGCACCTGGTAGGCACACACACTATGGTGTATGTTGCTTGGTTTGTACGTGAGTGCGTGTCTTTCCGTCGCAGCTGCCTGGCGAGATTGAGTCCCTCGTGGCCGCCAAGGAGAAGCTCACGGCCGGGTTGGAGAAGCTCATGGTTGCGCTAGGGTGCTCCGAGCCCTCGGGCTGCATCGGGACCACTTCCCGCGCCAAGGAGTGGGTCGACGAGCACTTTCTGCGCGCCGAGTAAGAGACGAAGAAGCGCAATCACTCATATGAATGTGAATGTGTACGTGCATCTGGGCTGCCTCAGTGGTTGTTGCGACAGGCTGGATGCCCCCAGTCCGCCCCCTCCCCCCTCTCTCCATCCTTCTTATCCATCCAGCGTGCGGACAGAGCAGAGCGAGGACATGCTGTCAGTGATTGACCTCGGCGACGACCGCATGGATGAATCGCTTATCGTGGTGGCTTCGCGAAGAGCACCCTGAGAGTGCCTGAGAGGTGCAGGTGCTGCTGGCTCGAGGCCGAGGGTGAGGCCTGCGTGGGTGTGTTTTCTGTGCGTGCGTGCATGGTTTGTCTGCCTGTATCATAGTGCTGATGTGCGTGTACGATTCTGATCGTTCCCTGCTGTTTGCTGCGCGACAGTGAGCCTTGTGTGTTGAGTGCATGTTTCGCGTTTCTCTTTCTCCCTCTCTCCCTGTCCCCCTCTCCCCC